GCATGCCTGTAGTCCCAGCTACTCGGGAGGCTGAGGCAGGAGGATCGCTTGAGCCCAGGAGTTGGAGGTTGCTGTGAGCGAGGCTGATGCCAAGGCACTCTAGCCCGGGCGACAGAGTGAGGCTGTTGTCTCAGAAAAAAGAAAAAAAAAATTCTCTTCCTCAATCCTACCGGCCACATTTTATGTGTTCAACGTCTGTATGTGGCCAGTGTCCCAGACAGTGGAAATATAGAACAATTCCTATCATCGCAGAAAGTTCTCTGAAATGGCACTGTCTTCAAATGGACTTGCCAACGGTTATATATTCTCCTGAACTGGTGTTCAAACCTTCCTGGAAAACTTATCAAAGGACAGAGAGACCTCATCCTGTTTATTTAATGCTGTTTATTTAGTTCCATGTTTGTTCGAGAGAAACCATCACTAAAGCACCAAATCTTTATGACAAAATAGTCATAATAATCAAAATCTCACACGAATTTGGTTTGTATTAAGTAATGTCATTACGACCCTCAAAAAAAAAAAATGTCAATGTGGCCAGAAACAATTCATAAGAGACCTTTAAGTAAAATTCTAGAGACTTTTGTCCAATATGTGCTTCAGGCTGTTGTAGTTTATTTAGTGCTTTTCTTGGAAATATTTTGCAGCCAATACTTTACCATTAAGTTCTTCAAGGCAGGGAGCATGACCCAAGCTTCTGGAAGCCTTCCCTGTGCTCTGGCTGTGAGCGCCAACTGTCTCCAGCAGATAAATCCAATATTGCAGTCGCTACTGAAATTTGAGGCCGTCCACATGAAGCCCTTCCTACATAGCTAATGCACAATCCATGACAGCTGCGAATATGCAGTGACAATTGTCTGGATTTTTCTTCTTCTTCTTTCTTTAATTTTTATTTATTTTTTATTTTTTTGAGACAGAGTCTCACTATGTTGCCCGGGCTAGAGTGAGTGCCGTGGCGTCAGCCTCGCTCACAGCAACCTCAGACTCCTGGGCTCAAGCGATCCTCCTGCCTCAGCCTCCCTCCCAAGTAGCTGGGACTACAGGCATGTGCCACCATGCCCGGCTAATTTTTCTGTATGTTTTTAGTTGGCTAATTAATTTCTTTCTATTTATAGTAGAGATGGGGTCTGGCTCTTGCTCAGGCTGGTTTCGAACTCCTGACCTCGAGCAATCCGCCCTCCTCGGACACCCAGAGAGCTAGGATTACAGGCGTGAGCCACGGAGCCTGGCCTGGACTTTTTCAATTAGTTTTTATTTAGAGGGTTTTTACCTCTCTTAATTTTAATCCTTTCTTGGGGGGAAATATCACTAGTGGTTTTAATTATAACTAAACCTGTTTTCGGCCAGGTGTGGTGGCTCACGGCTATAATCCTAGCACTCTGGGAGGCCGAGGGGGGAGGATCGCTTGAGGTCAGGAGTTCGAGACCAGCCTGAGCAAGAGCGAGACCCCGTCTCTACTAAAAATAGAAAGAAATTAATTGGCCAACTAAAAATATATAGAGAAAAAAGTAGCCGGGCATGGTGGCGCATGCCTGTAGTCCCAGCTACTGGGGAGGCTGAGGCAGGAGGATT